GGTTACACAGCAAGTAAGTGGGGAAACTGGAAACCAGACTGACTCCAGAACTGAGCAATTTCCACAATCCTAGGATGTGTCTTAAAAAAACCTCTGAAAATACACAGCTGAAGCAAAAGGCCCTCAAAGCAATACTTACCTTACTACTTAGAATGCGCTCCGACAATTTCCTACTCTGCTGTATTGTGTTTGTCTGTCTGCGACCCACTAAATGTATTTCTGGACCCACAGTTAGTTAGGAAAACAGGCCTTAGGACACTTCCCCTAATTCATCCCCATTTCCGGGGCCTTGCCCTTTGACCTCCTGCATCCTGTTCAACACCCCCACACCTTCACAAGTCTAGGCCTCACCTCTGCCAGGGGCTCCCTGGCTCCAGGCCTGATTTAGACCCACATCGTCCTTCAGCCCACACTTGCCCGACAACAACACCACCCTGGATGCCTCGCCGGATGCCCAGCGTATTCCTTTCCGAGGGCTCCCATAGCAAACTGGTGCTTAAAACAACAGAAATGGCCCTGGGTGGGTGGCTAGGTTGGTTAGAGTGTCATCCTGTCACCGAAAGGTTGTGGGTTAAGGCACATACCTAGGTTGTGGGTTCTCTCTCTCTCTCTCTCTCTCTCTCTCTCTCTCTCTCTCTCCCGTCCCCCCCCCCCCCCCCCCCCCCGATCTAAAAAACATATCCTCAGAGAAGGATTTAAAAAATTAATAGAAATGCACACTGTCACAGTTCTGGAGGCCAGAAATCTGAAAGCAAGCTGTTGGCCGGGTCACACTCCCCTCCGAAGACTCCAGGGGGGGTCCGTCCTCGCCTCTTCCAGCTTCTGGCAGCCCCGGGCCTTCCCTGGCTTCCGATCTCGGTCTTTCCTCTGCGTCTCTCTCCTCTTCTTATAAGGACTCCAGTATGCCGTCATTTTCACGAATTACATCTCCAATAATCTATTTCCAAATAAGATTACATTCTGAAGTACTGAGGGGTAGGATTTCAATATCTCTTTTTCTGGGGGAGGGAAGGGGAGGGTACAAAACTCAATGAATGTCACCTACTGAACACTTCATGCTCACCATGTCCTATCTGACCCTATGTCCCCAACTGGGACCTGGGCCAGAGAACTGGGTGTCACCTACACATCTCCCTGCTCCCCAGCCTGACAGGCTCTGCACTCTTTACATTCCGCCTTCCAAATGCCTCCCAATTAATTTCCACCTTTCCCACCATCTCTGCCCTGGCCCAGTATCCCCACCCCTTCCTTGCCCCTGTTCTAGATTTCCCCCTTGACTCTGCCCCAAAGACTTGCCCCCTCCCATCCACCCTGCACACAACGGCCAGGGCGAAACCTTCCTGAAGCACACATCACACCCTTGCTTCCTGGCTGAGAGCCCACTGCCTTAACACTGCCCGTAAGACCCTGCATGGGCCGCCCTGACTGCTGGACCCGGTCCCCTCATGGGGCCCATGTGGGACCTCATATAAACCCAGCCCTGGGGACAGTCAGCTTGCCACCCAGTCTGCGCCTGCACCCACTCGGAAAAATACAGCCAGAGCAAGACACGCGGCCACGGCGACGCATCTCATTTCAGTTTAATATCCAGTAACCTCAAGGGGTTGGGTCTATGTGTCTCCCTCTCCCTGGCCACTCACTCACTATCTCGTGATTTCCCCTCTCTCTCTCCAACCTCAGCACCTCCCTCCACCTCGATGCTGCTTCCTAATTTACCGAGACAACGCCAGGAAGGAGAAGAGAACGTTCACATTTCCTGACACCACATGTTGCTACCTGCCCGCCTTCCTGCCCATATGCCCCTCCCCCGTCACTGTGGCAGAACAGCGCATGCCTCTTGGACCACCCTCCGCTGGGGCCCTGGAACCCACCACACCATGCTGACCCAAGGACAGGGCTCCAGCAATCCTCCCTTTCCCCTCTGCAGCATCCATCTCCCCTCTTCTAGATCTTTCTAATTGGCACATGACATACTGTTACACCTACCATCTGAAATAAACCTTCCGAGATCCCATTCCCCCTTCAGACACCACCGCTTTTCTGTGCTGCAAAGAATCACCTACACTGGCTCTCTCCAAACCCTCTCTTGAACCCACCTAATCAAGCTGCAGCCCCTCCCTGCCACTGCCCCCCAAAATGGCTCTTTTCTAGATGACTGGTGACTTCCGTCTTGCTCGCTCTAGTGGTCACTTCTCAGTCTGCATCAGACTTGGCTTCTAGCAAGCATTTGGCACCCACGCCCCTTCCCTCCTTCTGGATTTGCACCCTTCACTTGGCCTCCAGGGCATCACATAGCCAGGTTCTCCTCTGACTTCCCTGATTGCTCCTCCCCAGCCTCCTCTGCTGGCCCCAGCCCTCTCCTGGAGTGCCCCAACCTCAGGCCTGGACTTCTATCTACAACGGGCGCCCCTGTGGACCTCTCCCAGCCTTCAGGACTTACAGGTCACTTACTCACTGACAACTCCTCAATTTCTGTCTCAAGACTGAAGCTCTTCCCCTGGAGTCCAGACTCAAATATCCAACTGCCTACCTGACATTTGTACTTGGGAGACTAATGGCCATCTCAAGTTGAGGCAAACTTGAACTCCCGATGCGCTTGCAGCTCTGCCCACCATTGCTTCTGGCAGCTGCATCTGTCCGGTTACTCCCTATGCAATTCCATCTCACCTCACCTTCCCCGCTGCCACCCTGGTTGGAGCCACCATCACCTGAACCACTGCAGCGACCTCCTCACTGGGCTCCCAGCTTCCATCCTGGTTCCCTGAAGGCAGGTCCCCAGAGAAATCTTACTAAGTCCTTCCCCAGTGCAGGACCCTCCCCCGGCTCTCATCTCATAGGGTAAAGGCAGAAGTTCTTGCAGTGACCCCCAAGGCCCCTCACCATCTGGCTCCCCACCCAGCCCGCCCCTGGCTCCCTCCATCCCCATTGGCCTCCTAGATGTTCCTGTAACACAAGAGGCAAAGTCCTGGCCCCGGCTGTACTTGCTCCCTCACCTGCTTCACCTCTCTACTTAAATGTCACCTCTCTGCTTAAAGGAGGCCTCTCCTAGCCACCTTATTTTAAAATCACACACACACACACACACACACACACACACACACACCATACTCCCCAACCCCTTTCCCTTCCACTTTTTTAAAAATATATTTCTTTATTGATTTCAGAGAGGAAGGGAGAGGGAGAGAGAGAGAGAGAGAAACATCAATGATGAGAATCATTGATCGGCTGCCTCCAGCACGTCGCCTACTGGGGATCGAGCCCACAACCCAGGCATGTGCCCTTGGCCAGAATCAAACCTGTGACCCTTCAGTCCGCACGCCAATGCTCTATCCACTGAGCCAAACCGGCTCGGGCCCCTTCCATTTTCTTCATAATACTTATCACCTTCTTACTTATATGTCTATTTATTTTGCCAGTTGTCTGATTCTCCCAAGAGTGAGCACCATGAAGGTATAGGTTTTCGTCTTTTGTATTCACTGCACCTGGAACTGTGTAGACGTTCAATAAATATTTGTTGAACAGATGAAGCACCGTTGGTTGAATGACCTTGAAGTCTCCTGCGGGTTACTAAATTACAAATGTTTCGGCCCTTTT